TAATAGTACTATAACCACCCCAAAAGGATGTGATGTATTAGTTCCATGACTTGTAGTCAGTACACAATGGCAAAAGTAATGCATGCATGTTTAGCCTCTTAATTATTATCCCTGTCTTCAAGGAAGACTTTATATTATTGTTTTGCCAATCCTTGTTGTAAGAATGGTACACTAAATCAAATACAAGAATGTAATATGCATCTCACTGGAGCTGATAGTTGACAGCTTTTGGTGATGGCAAGTTCAAGAATAACATTCACTAAGATCATGAGCATCATGAAAACATTTGAATGTTAGATTCATAGAATTCGTAATACCACAGAATACATTCGGCCCACGTAGTCTTTGCTGGCTCTCCTACACCAAATCAATTAAGAGGCTTCGCAGTGGGGTTAAAACTGTTTCAGAGATAGTAGAAACTACAGATGCTGGAGAGTCTGAGATAACAAGGTGTAGAGCTGGATGAACGCAGCAGGCCAAGCACCATCAGAGGAGCAGGAAAGCTGACGTTTCGGGCCTAGACCCTTCTTCAGAAGGCCTGCAGTGTTCATCCAGCTCTACACATTGTTACCAAACCAATTAATCCTGTTTCTCGCTCTATACCATAGCCCTGCAAGTTCATTTCCTTCATGGGGCCAGCAATTTTTTTTCAAAAAGCCATTGAATGTCTGCTCCCACGATTCTCATGTACAATAGGTTCTAGGCTACTACCAAAGTGTAATAAAACTGTGTAATAAAGTTCTTTATCATCTCTCCCACCCCAACTGCCCAACCCCACCAACAGCTCTCACCAAAAATCATAAATTTGTGTCTACAAGTCCTTGCGCCATCAATTAATGAAAACAGCTTTTCCTTGACTACTTTTTCCAAACTTGCCATAATCTTGTAACCTCTATCAGACTTAATCTTGATTTCCTTTGCTTCAAAGGAAGCCCAGCTACTCCAACCTAAACTCCCTCAACCCTGGAATCATCCTGTTAAATCTGCTATTGTGAGGACCATCAAATCTTCCCAAAGTGTGGTGAGCAGAGGCCCAGTGACCTTGAAGAAAGTACTGGTGTTCAGTGAACCCATTGCATCATCTTGTAGAAGTAGCTGGAGTAACTCTTTTTCGTCACTTTTGTTTATGTTTCTTGTTACCTTTTGATGCCTTTTCGGTTATTTGTGTTGGTATTCTTCCTTGAAATTTCCTCCAGAACAAAAATGGAGGTTTCTTTCCTCTTCATCTGACTTCCTGATACACAGTAACTAGTTAATGGCTTAGACCTTCTGATCAGTGGCAATGCTGGAAACGTTGCCATTACTCACAAAGACTTGAAGCGTTTGTAATCATCTGATCCTGGCTCAGAAAATAACAGACAATGCAGCAGCTCCTGTTCAAATCCAGATGATCATAGAAGAATTGGACTAAGAAAAGGACTTGTCTCCTTTTTATAGTACTAGCCATGGCATCCAGGTCATTTTTCAAAATGTTTTTGAGAAATTTAGTGCAAGAGTGTGGGCTAGTAAGTGGGTCAGCAGATGAGTGGGTAGAGGTGGGTCAAGTGGGTTATTAGTAAGGTTGAGTCCAAGATGGAGTTATTCAGTTGGAGGCTGTTGGGTGAGGCCAAAATGATAATTGGATAGGGGATAGTCCGGTCTAGCATCATCAGGTTAGGTTAGGTTAGGGAGTATGGTTGTGTCAAAGGGCAATATCAGGTCTGGCTGTGAGGTAGTCAGATGCTAGTGTGGGTCTGATCAGTGACAAAGTCAGGTGATCAGTGAATTATTGGAGAATTATTTGTGTCATAACAGGTACTAAATTGGCTAAACAAAAAAAAGCGAAGAACTGCAGATGCTGAAAATCAGAAACAAAAACAGAAATTGTTGGAAAAAAATCAGCAGGTCTGGTAGCATCTGCAGAAAACAGAATTAATGGTTTTGGGTCCAATGACCCTTCTTCAGACTGATTGCAGTTAGGAAAAGGGTGGTATAAATGCCAAAGAAGAGTTGGGCGCAGGGAAAGGAGCAAACAATATATGGATGTGGGGATCTGAGTTCCGGTCGCATGCCATTTCAACATATCACCGTGTTCCCTGGCCAACATCATTGTCTCAAGCTTGCCTCAGTGCTCCAGCAAAGGTCAGTGCCAGCTAGAGAAATAACGCCTCTTTTTCCAACTGCAGCTTTTTGGACTCAATATCAAATTCAACAATTTTAGGGCTTGCATACCTTCTCCATGTCCTTACCCAAAGCCCAGACACCAGGCCTGGTTATAATGGCTGCTACCGTAAACAATCCATTGTCTAGATCTATCCTAGAACACTGAGGAAGGTAAGAGAACAAATTGCTGGAGCATTGAGAGACAGCTTTATATCCTCTTTGGCCACAAGTGAGGTCCCAGAGGACTGGAGAATAGTTAATGTTGTCCCATTGTTTAAAAAGAGTAAGGGGGATAATCCAGGAAATTACAGGCCTGTGAGCCTCACAGTGGTAGGGAAATTATTGAAAAGGATTCTTAGGTGCAAGATCTATAAGCAATTTGAATGAAAAGGAATGATTATTGATAAACAGCATGGTTTGTGCAGGGAAGGTCATGCCTTACTAACTTGATCGAGTTTTTTGAGGGGGTGACGAAGATGATTGATGAGGGAGAAGTGATTGATGTCTACACGGACTTCAGTAAAGCCTTTGACAAGGTACTTCATGGCAGACTGCTATAAAAGGTGAAGTCACCTGGTATCAGGGGTGAGCTGGCACAGAACTTGCTCAGTCAAAGGAGACAGAGAGTAGCAATGAAAGGATGCTTTTTGGAATGGAGGTCTGTGACTAGTGGTGTTCCACAGGGATCAGTGCTGGGACCTCTGCTGTTTGTAGTCTACATCAATGATTTGAAGGAAAACGTAGCTGGTTTAATTACTAAGTTTGTGGACGATACAAAGATTGGTGGAGTTGTGGATGGTAACAACGATTATCAGAGGATACAGCAGGATATAGATGAATTGGAGGCCATGGGCGGAAAAATGGCAGATGGAGTTTAATCCAGACAAATGTGAGGTGATGTATTTTGGAAGGTCAAGTACAGGTGGAAATTATACAGTGAATGGCAGAACCCTTAGGAGTATTTATATGCAGAGAGATCTGGGCAAGCAGGTCCACAAATCACTGAAGACAGCATTACAGGTAGATAAGGTAATAAAAAGGCCTATGGCATGCTTGCCTTCATTGGAAGGGGCATTGAGTAGAAGGATAGACAAGTTATTCTGCAGCCATATAGAACTTTAGTTAGGCCCCACTTGGAATATAATGTACAGTTCTGGTCATCACACTACCAGAAGGATGTGGATACTTTGGAGAGGATACAGTAATGGTTTAGCAGGATGTTGCCTGGTATGGGGAATTTTAGCTATGAAGAAAGGTTGGTTAGATTGGGTTTGTTTTCACTGGAATGCAGGAGGTTAAGGGGAGGACCTGATAGAAGCTTAAAAGATTGTGAATAGCATGGATAGAGTGGAAAGTATGAGGCTTTTTCCCAGTGTAAAGGAGTCAATTACTGGGAGAAACAGGTTCAAAGTGCAAGGGTGGAGGGTTGGGGGATCGTTTAAGAGATGTGTGAGGCACGTTTTTCACACAAAGAGTGGTGAGTGCCTGGAATACAATGCCAGAGGTGGTGGTGGAAGCAGACACAATAGCTGCATTCAAGAAGCACCTGGACGAATACATGAATAGGAAGGGAATAGACGGATACGGATCCTGTTAATATGGAAAGGCAAAATGTATTGGCACAGACTTGGAAGGCTGAAGGGCCTGTTCCTGTGCTGTATTGTTCTCTGTTCTTTGTCAGTCACTAAGGTACCCATTAGCAGCAATTCATTCTCCAAGGCTGACCTTTACCCTTTCCTTTGTCTACCCAACTGTTTTTCTCTCACTGTGGGATCTAACTCTACGCATCATTTATTCCTACCCCATTCCTCCCACCTTTGCCATAATATCAGCATCAAAGAAATGTATGGATGGGTCCAGGCAGTATGGAACTAGCCCATCAGAAGTTTAACAGCCTGAACAATTTCCACATGCCTGCATGTTTCCCAACATGCTTCCAGTCTCCAACAATCCAGAGACCTGAAGGTTTGGACTTTTATGTTTCATGATATTGTAACATTAATAACAGAAGCTTACTTAGCTGCAGTTATCAAAGCAAATCAAATGTAATTATAGCACTATGTTTTGATGTTTCACATAAATACAGAAGTGTGTAAAGTAGGACTGAAATTCACTTAAAGCTCCACTTGTCCTCGACCATATTGCCAGTGAGACACAGGCATAATCAAAAGTGAAATGAAGGAAGCTTGAACACCTGGATATATGGTTAGGATAATTAACCACATAGGGTGCAAATTTTACTGCTCCTCTTTCTCCCAATTCCAAACGTCCACATGACCAATGCTGGAGAGGAACAGCAGATCCTGGATCACAAGTATATTCTGTACTAGACAATTACATGGCTTCAAAAGAACTTCCTTCTGTCTCACAAACATGAGACTTCTTCAGGTACATGCTAATCTGTCTCCTTCAAGGAAGTACAGAATTCCCAATGATACACATTTCAACTGGGCATTAGACCCAAGAAACTGAATTATCTCTGGCGATAAGTCCCTCACAGGATGATGGCATCATTGGATAGGGCAGCACTTATTTCCAATTTCTAATTGCCCAGAGGAGAATTGCAGCATTGTCATTGTGGCATTAAAACTCATGTGTCCCAAATATTAGTCTTGGGTTCTAGATTTCTAGCCGAGTGGGATTTTTCACTGCACTATCACCTCCTCATCATGTATTGATCAAATACCAGAGTTGTGAAGTTGTACGTTCAGAATCTCTAAGACAGAGGTCTTCATTGCAACAAGTGTGAAAATAAGTGGAATTATACATTTTGTAGACAATAAGAAATTGTTTCTTTGCATTCAGATAACTACATATCAATTTTTCCCTTGTTTGTGATTGTTGCAAATCTTTGCTACCTGAAATCAAAGAAGTCCGGTGTTGTCATTGTCTCCAGAACTGCAAACTGGTCCACCAGAAGCTTAAAGATTATTGCAATTCGATGGATTCTTGAGATCACTTTCAGCATATTCCTCTCGTCTCTCACCTGGAACACGTTATTTCATGGGTTATAAATTAATACCTGTTTTATTTAAAAGGATAAGTTGGCATACCTGTTTAGTTCAGCCTCCAACATAGCAAGAACAAATAAAAATAATATTTAGAACAAAGAACAAAGAAAATTACAGTACAGGAACAGGCCCTTCGGCCCTCCAAACCTACATCAACATGCTGCCAGTAACAACTAAAACCCCCTACCCTTCCGGGGACCACATCTATTCCAATCCTATTCATGTATTTGTCAAGATGCCCTTTAAATGTCACTATAGTATCTGCTTCCACTACTTCTCCTGGCAGCGAGTTCCAGGCATCCATCTGTTCAGTACAGCCCCTTTCCTAGTTGGACTATCTACATAGAAGGTAAATTACTAAATTTATAAAGTGTCCAAGATGTCTAAATGTTCTTTTTTGCTCTACTGAACACTTGAGCTCAATATTCTAAGTATCAGATTATCTGAGCAGGTTTCAAACCTGCTTTTCTGTCATACTGGAATTCGAGACCAAACACCATGTTTCCAGTGACTACGTTATAGTCTTGGTTCTTAGATAATCTTCAAAAATTAAACTGATCAAGAGATGGAAAATTCTGTTCCCTGAATGGCAGTAGATTCATTTTAGTAATTTATCAGTTTAAGAGGTGTTGCTGGATTTTTAGTGTTTTTGAGACATTTATAAACAATAAATCTCTGGTATACTTTTGGGATCCATTACTTGAGTTATTTGTTGCTGAAGTGAAGAGGTCAACACTTGAAGTCTGGTATGATGTCTTCCGTAGTTGGATGGTTCATGTTTGCTTGTGCAAGGGGTAGCAGCAGACCGGCAGAGTTTGGGAAGAAGTGGAAATTCCTGGTTTTTCAGTGTTTTCAGCACTTTTACACCGCCTGATACTCCACAGGCTGTTCTTAGCCAGGTATACAGTTCAACGCTGAAAATGGTGGCATATTAATTGACTTCTTTGATCTTTCAAAATTATGTTCAGTCCTTTTTAAGCTGTTCTTCCAATCTGCTGTTTCTCTTCAAAGCTACGGTTCTGATTTGTTTGCAAATTCCTTGTATTTAAGCAGTCTTTGCACACCTGCATGTGTCTCCCTACAATCCATTTAGAACTTGTAGATTTTCTCATAAACTCACTTTGCTCTCCTAATAGTTTTTTTTTGCTTTATTATAACCTTTATGGCTTTTGGGGGATTCTAGATTTGGCAGTACCTTTTCTTTGTGGGGACATGTCAACACTGATTTGTGACTGACTTTCCTTCAAGCAGCTTCTAGCCCTGTTTTGCCTGAAACAAAACCAGAAATTGCTGGAAAAGCTCAGTAGATCTGGCAGCATCTGTGGACAGAAACCAAATTTAATGTTTTGGATCCAGTAGCCTTTCCTCAGTATGCCAGATTATTATTCAGATTTATTACGTTTCCTTTCCCAACCAATTTTTAAACTTTTACTCTTGGTCTATCTTAATCCCTTTCCATAATGATGTTAAATCTACCCACCCCAAAAATGGTCACTCAATTCTTTTTCATTCACCTGTCCAGTCTCATCTATCACTACCAGAAGGATGTGGTGGCTTTGGAGAGGGTACAGAAAAGATTTACCAGGATGTTGCCTGGTATGGAGGACATTAGCTATGAGGAGAAGTTAGAGAAACTTGGGCTGTTCTCACTGGAACGACGGAGGTTGAGGGGCGACCTAATAGAGATCTACAAGATTATGAAGGCCATGGATAGAGTGGACAGTCAGAAGATTTTTCCCAGTGTGGAAGAGTCAGTTACTAGGGGGCATAGGTTTAAGGTGTAAGGGGCAAAGTTTAAAGGTGATGTACGAGGCAAGTTTTTTTACACAAGGGGTCGTGGGTGCCTGGAACTCGCTGCTGGGGGAGGCGGTGGAAGCGGATACAATAGTGACTTTTAAAGGGTACCTTGACAAATACATGAATTGAATGGGAATAGAGAGATACAGTCCCCGGAAGGGTATGGGGTTTTATTTGTGATGCACAGCATGTCAGTGCAGGCTTGGAGGGCTGAAGGTCCTGTTCCTGTACTGTAATTTTCTTTGTTCTTTTTTCTAGTCTCACTTTCTAAGACTAAACATAGAATTGTTCCCTCTGTTGGTTGAATCGGTTACATGCAAGTTGAAAATGTTCCCTTTAAAGGAGTTCAAGAATCTTCTGCCCTCTGTGCTTTTCACACTGTTCATATCCCAGTTGATACTTGGGTAGTTATATCCCTCAATTATTAATGCCCTATTGTTTTAACACTCAGAAATTTGGCAACAGAAGTTCCTCTAACTGTCTCCCACCATTTAAGGGTTTATAGTACACTCTTTCTACTGTAGCTTCTTCTGAGCCTTTGCATGCATTTATCTATCCCTTAGCTAAGTACACCAGTTTACATCAGCTCGCTCAGCTTTCATGCCCACATAAAGTAATAGAGTCATACAGCACGGAAACAGACCCTTCAGTCCATGCCGAACATAATTCTAAACTAAACTAGTCCCACCTGCCTGCTCCTGGCCTATAACCCTCCAAACCTTTCCTATTCATGTATCAATCCCAATGTCTTTTAAACATTTGGAATTGTACTCGCATCAACCACTTCCTCAGGAAGTTCATTCCACACGTGAACCATCCTCCATGTAAAAAAAATGTCCTTCTTGTCTTTTTTAAATCTCTCTTCTCACCTTAAGAATGTGCCCCCTAGTCTTGAAATCCCCCATCCTAGGGAAAAAACAACTACAATTAACTCTATCTATATCTCTCATTATTTTATAAACTTCTATCAGGTCGCTTCTCAACCTCTTACACTCCACTGAAAAAAGTCCCAGCCTATCCAGCTTTTCTTTATAACTCAAACCTTCCATACCCAGCAACATCCTGGTAAATCTCTTCTGAACCCTCTCCAGCTTAACAATATCCTTCCTATAACTGGGTGACCAGAACTGGACACAATATTCCAGAAGAGGCTTCACCAATGTCCCATACAACTTCAACATGACTTCACACCTCCTATACTCAGAGGGCTGAGCAAGCCTTTTTAAACTACCCTGTCTATATGTGACGCAAACTTCAAAGAATTACGTACCTGTAACCCTACGTCCCTTTGCTCTACAACACTACCCTTGGCCCTACCATTAATTGTACAAGCCCAATCCTTGTTTGTTGTGCCAAAATGTAATACCTTGCATTTATTCAGACTGAACTCCATCTGCCATTTTTCACCCCATTGACCATTTGATCAAGATCCCTTTGTAAACTTAGAAAAGCTTCTTCAGTGTATACTCTAAATATTCCTTATTTCAGTCTTACAAGGGGCTCTCATACACAACTCTTTCTCCAATGATCAATTACACCATCGGTGCTAATTTCTGGTCTTGTCTGGAATCAGAAAAGTTAATCAAATTTGCTTTCAATTTCCATCTTTTTCTCATCTGGTCCATCTCTGACTCTTCCATTCCTATCCTTGACTTCACTGTTTCCATTTCTGGGCACATCCTGTCTACCAATATCCATTACAAACTCACAAACTTCCACAGTTATCTCAACTACACTTCGTCACACCCTGCTTCCTGTAAGAATTCCATTCTATTTTCCCAGTTTCTCCACCTCCGTCACATCTGTTCTGATGATGCCACCTTCCAATGGGGTGTGTCTGATGTGTCCTCCTTTTTCTTGAAGTGAGAAGTCTTCCTCACCCCACCCCCACAACTGTGTTTAAAAAGGCTCTCAGCTGTGTTCAACCTATCTCTCGTACTTCAACCCACAATCTATCCCCTCCTCTCCAAGAAAGCGATTATGGTTCCTTTGACCTCATTTTCCACTCTACCAGTCTCTACATTCAAAGGATGTGCCTCTGTTATTTTTGGCACTGCCATCAAGATGTCACCACCAAACACATCTATACCTTCCCTGTTCTGTCAACGTTCTGTAGAGACAGTTTCCTCCCCAACATGTTGGTCCATTCCTCTATCACTCCTAACACTTCCTTAGCCCCCATACCTTTGTTTGTAATCTCATTGGCCATTTACCTTATCCCTTCTCACTGTTCAAAGTTTCAAACATACCTAACAGATGAAGCAACATTTTCCTTGTACTTCTCTCAATGTAGTCTTCTGTTTTCACTGCTCACCATTAAGTTTCCCTTACAATGGCAAGACAAAATGGGGTGGCACAGTGGCACAGTGGTTAGCACTGCTACCTCACAGCACCAGGGACCCGGGTTCAATTCCAGCCTTGGGCGACTGCCTGTGTGGAGTTTGCACATTCTCCCCATGTCTACGTGGGTTTCCTCCAGGTGTTCCGGTTTCCTCCCACAATCCAAAGATGTGCAGGTTAGGTGGATTGGCCATGCTAAATTGCCCATAGTGTTCAGGGAGGTGTAGATTAGGTGGGTTATAGGGAGATGGGTCTGGGTGGGATGCTCTGAGGTTCGGTGTGGACTTGTTGGGCCGAAGGGCCTGTTTCCACACTGTGGGGATTCTATGATGCCAAAAAGTCGATTGGGTGACCACTTTGCTAAAATTTCTATCCTTAGTCTGCTACATTGTTCCAATGAAGCTCAGTGCCAGCCGCAAGGAAAAAACCTTACCTGAGGCAAGGTGATCATCAGGTTAAACCAACAACAGTTCTCTTTCTCTAATGAGAGAGCAGTCCTCTGGGTCAGTTGTGACTTTACTACTGTTTTCACTCACTTTATCTTCTGCTTTGGACCCATAATCTGTTCCGCCTACTCCTCCACTCCCCTCCTCCATCAACAGAAACTTCTAAAAAAGATTCATACAGGACGCCAAATAGTTAATTCTGTTTCTCTCTCCACAGATGCTGCCAGACCTGTTGTGTTTCTTCACTGCTTTCTCTTTTTATCCTAATCCTTGTCACCCTGAAGCCATGCCTCCATAATGGATTTTAAACTGTAGTTACTTATATCAAAGTGCATTGTCAATCTTTTTTCCATTGTCCAGATCAATCATAACAATCAGACACAGAGCTTTTATAGTTTTGTCTTTTTGTATCAAAATTTAACTGTTATTGAACCTGCATTTTCACAGCTGACATTCTGAACTCAGTGGGATATTGTTTTCCCAGTGGTGAAGCCAATTTAAATGACTGTTTTCAACATTTTACATTCCATGTCAGGGATTCTGCTGTTCTTCCACTGAAGGCACAGGATGAGTGAGCAATCCCAGCAAACATTCAGTGCTAAAACAAGAAGAATGGCCCAACACTTATTTATAATCTCATAATAAATTTCCAAATTAGGTAAGGATAAACAATGCCTTTCAGTTTATTTAATCTCTTAAAACAAGGCAATCATCCTTATCTTCCCATTACTTTAAGTGAAAGAAACAATTCACTGCCCTTGCCTCAAATGCATTTTCTGGCAACACAGATAAAGTATATTATCACGCTGCCCACATTGATAAAAGATAATTATAGGCAGAGACAGACATTGTAGATAATTTCTAACTTTTCATTAAGCAAACTAATAAATGCCTTACAAAATAGATTACAATGACATTTCAGTTATATTGAAGCTTGTTTAATGATTACAAGGAACATTTTGGTTGTCTTTTCTCCTCATGGAATACTTAATGAATAAACTGTCAAGGAAAATGGAAAGGAAATGTTTTGCCAGCCTGTACGAAACTAGATAACCTTGATAATTTACAAACAATCAGGTGGACTTGGAGGAGAGCAAAAAGCTTACCTCAAATGGCCTCTCAACTTCAATCCTATTTTTACAAGTATGGAAAAAAAACAGATCTTTACTTTGCTGCTCAGATTTAAATTAAAATAATAGTGATCAATGACATTGGTGAATATTGATTTGCACTTTTAAAGGAGGACACCAGCAGTTTTGGATTCGTGGCTAATTGTCTGATCAGGACTGCTGATAAAAATCTGAGGCAATTGGATCTATGGCAACATCATAAAGTTACACAGCACAAAAGAAGACCATTCAATCCATCATGTCTCTGCTGCTCCCTGTAAAAGTCCAATTTCCTCATTCCCACAGGTTAAAACATCAACTGGGGGGAAAAAAGTCAGCTGGATTTTAATTGCATACTTGTCGAGCAGGAAACTGAGTGGAAAGAATTAAAATTCACTTGACCACTTTACAGAAACATTTCCCTCCATCATTCTCTGTAACATTTATAGAAATTAGGGATCAATGTAAAATACTCACATGACCATTCTCAAATATTGCACGAACTGAATCCAATTCCCAAAGAATCTGCTTGAACCACAGTTCATAAGCTGCAATTTAGACATGTAAACAATTAAAATTACCAATAATTTATTGCATCAATCCCAAGTTATTGTGAATTATTTGCCAATGTCAACGTGTTTTTATTATTAATATAATAATGTTAACAGCTCACCTTGGTGAGTTATAATAAATAGATGTTCATCGTGTATTTTGTTTCCATTCTTCTCACTTTGTAGCTCTTGAGCATTTATTATTTTATCCAACTTTAAAGAAAAACAAAGTTTAAACTTCAGCATAAGACAGAGTGTTATGTATACTCAAGAAAAGGAAAATAACATGTTGTGGTGACAACAAGGTGCAGGGCTGGATGAACACAGCAGGCCAAGCAGCACCATAGGAGCAGAGAGGCTGACGTTTCGGGCCTAGACCCTTCACATCTGTTGTAATATTTGCTGTTGCTTTATTAAATTTAACAGCTACCTTAAACTGAGGGAGAGAAAACTGGAGTTAGACGAAGATAAAAAGATGGTGCTAAAAGAGCATTCAGCAGAATTTCTGTAATGTTTCCCAAGTTATTGCATGAAAATATACATAGAAAACCCAGAGAGAATGGCTATTTATGCTGATTTTCCAGAATATCATCTGAGTTCCAGTGGGAATTTGGGGATTCATATGAAAATTAAAGATTGGTGTTTTTCTTTCTTTAATGTGAACATAATTTTCTTCAAAAATATTTCAATATATTATTGGTAGTAGTTTCTGTATGTCATTATTTGTTATTAGAATCATAGAGTCCTTCAAGTTCCCTTCCAAGCCACTCACCATCCTGACTTGAAAATATATTGCCATTCCTTCACTGACACAGGGTCAAAATCCTGGAATTCCCTCCCTAATGGCATTGTGAGTCAACCCATAGTAGGTGGACTGCAGTGGTTCAAGAAAGCAGCTCACCCACCACCTTCTCAAGGGCAACTAGGGATGGGCATGAAATGCTGGCCAGCTAGTGATGCCCACATCCCACAAATGAATAGAGAAAAAAATTAATTTATGCAGGATGAAAACAGGCCCTTCATCCACGCCAACCAAGCTTCCTACACAGAACTAGTAGTCCCATTTGCCTGCATTTGGCCCATATCTCTGTAAACCTTTCCTATCCATGTACCTGTATAAATGTCTTATAAATGTTGTAATTGTACCCACCTCTACCACTTCATTTGGTAACTCATGCTATATAAGCACCACCCTCTGTGAAAAAGTTGCCACTAGGTCCCTTTTAAATTTTTCCCCTCTCACCTTAAACCTATTGCTTCTAGTTTTGGACTCTGTCACCTTGGGGAAAAGACCTTGGATATTCACCTTATCTGTGCCTGTCATGATTTTATAAACCTCTATAAGGTCACTCTTCAGCTTCCTACACTCCAGGGAAAAATGTTCCTGCCTATCCAGCCTCTCCTTGTAACTCAAAGGTTAAGTGAGTATAACCAGTGTGATTATGGGTCATGCTAGACAAATTGAATGTGAATTTTAGTACTGAATTATTTAGTATGTTATACTGAATTATATCCTACCATATAAGCCTATAATACATATATATTAAACATATGTTAAATACAATAGGACAGAGACATAATTACAAATAGGTAAAACAATACGTTAGTGAAAGGAACACCGTTAGAATTATGACAGACAATTAATTGAATTATTTGGGAGTTAAAGGGGAGATAGAGTTATCCCAGGGAACTGTGAATCTTATCATCAGTTGGAATAACAATGGATTTCTAATACAAGGTCACACATAAAGAAAAATAAAACTGAAAATGTATTAAAGAATAGTCAGCATGGGTTTCAAATGGAATGTCATGCTTGAACTTCCTTATTGAATTCTTTGAAAAAGTAACAAAAAAAGTGTAGAAAAAAGTAGTGTAGAGGATAATAATTCAAATGTCCTTCAATAAGACACAGATATGATGAGAGCATGTGGAGGCAGGGCAACTCGCGAATAGATATTAAGCTGGCTTCAAACAGGGAAGGTTAAAATAGCTACTCAGACTGGCAAAACGTGGATAGCAGTGCTCCATAAGGATTAAGGATGGGACCAGTGTTGATTATCATTTATGCAAAAGGTCTGAAGTTGGAAATAGAATTACAGTTGTTCAAATTGGAGACACATTCATAAATCAGGGGACATTCATAAATCTCTAAAAGGAATGGTTAAAGTTAATTACAGCATAAAAGTAACAAAGGTCTGGAGTTCATTTCCAGAGGGATAAAATTGGCAAGTAAAACAGTTAAACTTGCAAATAACCTGGATTAGACTGCGCTCAGTATTCTGTGAACCCCTCTGGTCTCTACTTTAGCAAACAAAGTAGAGGCACTGAAATACATGCAAAATTAATTTGTTGGATTGAAACGAAAGACTGAACCATCTACAGCTCTTTTCTCTAGAAAACAAAGGCTGAGAAGTGACCTTTAGAGATATTCAAGATTATGCAAGGGTTTGATAGAGTAGATGGAGAGAAAATATTTCCACTGACAGAGGAGACCAGAACTAAGAGCCAGAAATATAAACTAGTCACCAAAAAGTTTAATATAGAATTTCAGGAGAACTCCTTTACCCAGAAAGTCAAGCTCTCTTTTGGATTGTTATGGGCAAAAGAGATGAGGAATTGAGTTCCTTAAACAAGAAAGCCCAGCATTTATGGTAAGGGGCAGGAGATATGTGAGAACTTAAATGGTATGTGAGAAAAAGAAATCACCCACAGGGTGGTGCGAAGCTGGTACTCATTGTCTGTAAGGGTGGTACAGGCAGAAATCCTCATAACATTTAAAAAGTATTTAAATGTATACTTATGATGTCAAGGTATACAAAGTTCTGGGCCAAGTATTGAAAAATAGGATTAGAATAGTTAGGTGGTTGTTTTTAACTGGTACAGACTCGATGGGCTGAAAGGTCTTTTTCTGTGCTATAGACCTCTATGACTAAGCAAAGATTAACTTTTGGATCTAGTAATTTGAAATAAACTAGAGTGGATAAGAGACGTAAAAGTCATGGAATATAGAGTCAAACAGCACAGAAATGACCCTTCGGCCCATTGAGTATGCATTGACAATAACTACCACTAAAGGCATGCTAATCCCAATTTCCTGCCCTTGTCCCATATTCTTGAATACTATGATATTCCAAGTGCTCTTCCAAATACTTCTTAAAGGTTCTAATGTTTCCACCTCCACTACCTTCCCAGGCAGTGTATTCCAGATTTCCAACACCGTCTAAGAGAAACGCTGTTTTCCTCAAATCCCCTCCGAATCTCCTGTCCCAACCCTAAAACTATGCCCCCTTGTGATTGACCTCTCAATCAAGGGAATCAGCTGCTCCCTACTCACCCAATCCACACCCCTCATAATCTTATACACCACAATGATGTCCCCCCTCAGTTTTCTCTGCTGCAAAGAACATCTAAGCCTAGCTAGTCTTTTCTTATAGGTCAATTGTTCCAACCAAGCCAACATCCTGATGAACCTCCTCTAGTGCTATCACATCCTTCCTGTAGTGAGGTAAGCAGAACTGCACACAGTACTCCAGCTGTGGCCTGACCAACACTCTGTACGACTCCAACATTACTTTCTTGCTCTTACACTTTATGCCACAGCTGACGAAAGTGAGTGTCCCATATGCCTTCTTAACTATCCTATTCACATACTTTGCCAACTTCAGGAATCTGTGAATAATTATCCCGAGATCCCTCAGTTCCTCTGAGCTACCCAATATCCTGCCACTCATTAAATACTTCGTATCCTGTTTCTTCTTTCAAAGTCCATCACCTCACACTTCGCAGGGTTAATTACCATCTGCCACTGATCTGCCGATCTGACCAACTCATCTACATCTTCCTATAACCTACAATGATCTTCTTCACATTTAATCACCCTACCAAACTCGATGTTGTCTGCAAACCTGCTTAACATTCCCCTCACATTTTCATCTGTATCAGTTTTGTATATAACAAACAATAAAGGTCCTAGTACTGATCTTTGTGGTAGACTGCTTGACACCAGCTTTCTGTCACTCAAACAGCCTACTGTCACTGTGTCCTGTTGTGCCCTGTTAATAAGCAAGTTTCTGATCTATCTTGCCAAATTTTCTTGAATTCTATGTGCTTTAACCTTCTCAATCAGTCTCCCATGTGATACTTTGTCAAAACCTTTGCTGAAATCCATATAGACTATGTCAACTGAACTTCCCTCATCCATACACTTGATCACATTTTCGAAACATTCTAAAGTATTTGTTGAGCATGACCCTCTAACAAAGCCATGCTGAAGCTATGCTGACTTTCCCAATTAACCCATGCTTTTCCAAAGGAATATTAAGTCTGTCCTTCAAAATTTTATCTCCAATAGTTTCTCCATCTTGACAAGAGTAACTATTATGTAATATGCTTTAATGTAGTGACAGGGATGAACTTAAAATGATGAACACCAAGATAATAAATTGGAGAAAAGAGATTTTGAAAAGTTGGCAATAAAACTTGGGAAAACAAAATAGGCAACAATATTGGTAATCTACAGTAAAGGACAAGAATGGAAAACAAATGGGGAAGAGACATTCCTTAAAAGGCATGCATGATTGAAGAAAACACAAAGACATTTGGAGAAAAAAATTAAGAAAACTCAGGCAAGGCGTAACTATGAAAATGAATTATGATGTTTCATAAATCCAGATATATTTTAAAGGCAAATCAATATACAAGGAAAGCTGTGATAAGAATAGTGAGATGCAAGGTAGGATAATTCCACTGGTAGGAATAAAAAGCAGAAATATTAAATAATTATTTGTTTCAGTATTTAATAGAGTCTTAGAACAAATGCTGTAATAAATTATGAGCTGAGCAATAATCAGTGAATTTAAGATTAATAAATGGATTATGCAAATAAGCTAATCAGACTCAAAACATTTTCACAAATATCTTCCAGTGCCATATCCAAAAAGATATCTTGCCTCTTCAAGTCTTAGATAGTGTTTTGGACACCCATTAGCAAATCACAGATCAGCTTGAGGCAGCTACACTCTAACATGTATGCTAATTGAAACCTCCCCCCTCTGTTAACTTTCTCTTTACTTAAAAATGGTAGATGCGTTGTTCAAGAGCGGGATTTCTGGATTCAAGCCTCCAAAGCAATATTCAATTGATTAGGACGATCTCTGTTCTCGACCCAGGCCAAAGTTGACCCTTCTGTGCATTGTGACTGACTTGTTAAATATATAATGAGTCTTTTGGCAAATATTCTTTTTCAAATGTGAGTACAATAAAAGAAAATTACGAATCATAGTGATAAAAATAATGAAACTTATATGAAAATGTGAATTCACAATATGCTGTGCTGCTATATTGTTGACTATATTTTAAAATGTGACTTTTTCCTAAAATTGAAAGGGAGGTGGCACATTTGCACAGAAACACACACACACAAATAATTCTTTGCAACTTAAAAAGGGAGAATTTGCTGATAGGTAAGACTGCAATGGAATCCTTAAACATGCCTGCAGATAGTCCCTGTACATTATTCCTCCTTTACTGGCTTTATTTGTTCCATCTTGTGATGTGTCACTGTTTTCCTGTAGGTCTGAAGGAAATGCATGCCTGTAAGAAATTTGCAACAAGTTAATATAATGTGGTTATTAATTATAAAATACAATACTCTTTTGAGAAATGAGGCATTCTGTTGGAATCTCCAAATTTCCTTTTTAAAGTCCTTGAATTTGTTGTATCTCACAAATCCACTCCTTGCTAAAAGTTCAAGTGATGCTGATAATACACTGCTCATGCCATAATACAGTTTTTGTGGGAGATAGTTGGGAGTGGGCAGGCTATCTCTTTATAAAGCATGGGTATATTGTCTTCAAGGGTTGACTCGTGTACAGCAGGGCTACCCTTCCCTGAGATAATACCCTCCTTCCTTTCTACACATCTGCTCTGCAAAACCCATTCCTGGTCCCTCAACTCCTCCCTAGTGTTTTCAAAACCAACCCCACTCAACACTCCAGACTCACCTGAGGCCAGTGCCTGTGCTGTCTTCTCTGTGTGCCTGCCTGCCACACAAACAGTGTCTATTACTGAGTTTGTGGCACCACCGGGTCTGTTTAAACTAAACCCAATCAGATTATTCAATTAGTGAGGAGGACGGAACTTCTCCCCAGTGAGGAAAAGCATTCTGACTCTTGAGCACTTCAGCCCACCTACAGCACATTATAGCTGAGTGGAATGCTTCTTTCCAGTCAGTTGTCTCACAACTTTTAGGTTGGCTTTCTTTCTGGGGACGTGAGCAGTTGACCCAATCACCACTTCCACCACAATAATGTGCAGCCCATGATCAAAGAATCACATAAAATGGCTTCTATTCCTCCTTCTGCAGTATTGCTTCTGGTGTCACTTAATGATCTATCCTTGGCCCTTTCCTATTTCTCATCTACATCTTACCTCTTGGCAGCATCATCCAAAATCACAGTGTTAGTTTTTTATATCTGAATGCTGATGGCATTCAGCTCTACTTCATTGCCATCATTTTCCACTTCTCGGCTGTTGTCAAATGATCAAATTGCTTTAGCAGAAACTTCACCCAATTAAATATTGAAAAGATTGAAGTCATTATTTTGGGTCCAATTCAAACTCTCTTTACAGGTTACTGAATCCATATCTCTCCTTCTTTGAGATTTATAATATTCTAATTGCAACATCAGTGTCAGATTTGACCCCGAGGTGAGCTTCCAACCACATATCTGTGCCATTATTTGGATTACCTACTTCCACCTCAGTAACATTGGCTGACTTTGCCCTATCTAAGATCATCTGCTGCAAAACCCCTCATCCACACTAGACCATCTGAAGCTCAGTTGCCTGTGTGTTAATTCGCAATGAGAATCATTAATCTGTCACCCTGTGTTCACTGACCAACATTTGCTCAGGGTTAAGCAACATCTTGACTTCCAAGCTTTTAACTTTATTTCAAATCTCTCCATGATCTTGCCCCTCCCACCTCTGTACTCTCCTCTTCGTCTTTGATTCCATTGTCTAACAAATAACTACCCACCTATGCCTTAAGAATATTCAATGAACACATCTTCATTGCCTTCTGAAGTATAGAGTTCCAAAGTTGCACAAACCTCAGAAAATTAAAAAATTCTCCTTATCTTTGAACAAAAAGGGTGACCACAATTTTAAAACAGTGTCTTCTCGTTCTGCACCAATCATAAAGAGAGTTGCGGCACAGTGGCAGTCAATTAACCACCATTCTGCAATGGCTCTTCAAATGAGCATCATTACTTAGTACCAAACCCTTGCTTTCTCCCCATCCCTTGCACATTAATTCTATCCAAATAATCATTCAACATCCTTCAGTTGAATCAGTTGAACATGCTTCTACCATACTGTCAGCACAACTACTCAATGTGTGAAAAAAACTTGTTCTCACATCAATTTTGCTTCTTTTGCAAATCTCTTTAGATCGGTGCCCTCTGGTCCTTGATGTTTTTGTGAGTGGAACCATTTTCAACTACCTACTCTACCCAGTCTGCTCATGGTATTAAAAATCTCTCGGAGATAGCAAGAAATGCAGGTGCTGAAGTCGGAGTCACTACAGTGTGGAGCTAGAAGAATACAGCATGTCGGGCAACATCAGAGGAGCAGGAGAGTCGATGTTTCGGTTAGGGACCCTTCATCAGGACAGGGGAAGGGGAAAGAAGCTGGGAAATAAATAGAGGGAGGAGAGGGGGAGTTGGGGGAAGGTAGGTGGGATGCTGATAAGTGGATATAGGTAGGGGTAGTGGGAAGGGTGGGGCAGATAGGTGGGAATGAAGATGGACAGGTTATGTCAGGTCAAAGAGGTGGGGATGAGAGGAAGGGTTGGACATGGGATGAGGCTGAGGGTGGGGAGATTTAGAAACTGGTGAATTGCATGTTCAGCCATTGTGTGGTTTTAGCATTTTCTGCCTGACTTTCCTTCAACCAAACAGTATTTGGTTTCTGCATAACCTTTCCTTTTTATTCCCCGCACCACTCCCCAGCCCAAAATGTCCCTCTGGCTCAAAACATCCCTATGAAGGTGGTTTTCAAAGCCTCCTTTTTGGAGTTCTTTTCTAAGCCAATTTACAGTCCAAAAGCTCAAAATGGTGGGTAAGGTTTGAGGACTCAAGGGGTCCATAAGTAATGAAGTCAATTATACCAAGGCCCTATGAAATTTTTCCACTTATCTGCTGTTTCTCTTCAAAACTAGAATTTTCACTTTCATTATCCAGTTGCAACCTCCTGGTATTTCAAGTGTCTTTACATGTCTACGCATGTCTTTGTGCAAACCAGTTAGAACTCGCAGCTGCGTAGTCAGGTGACTAGTAATAGCTAGGTTTCTTTTAATATTTTGAGCTCAATGAGAGTCAGATTATTTTTTTTTCCCATAAATCTATAACTCATCTTTGTTCGTGACAGATTATATCAATCTTAGTGACAAAGATTGAGTGTCTCACATCTGTTGTTAGAAGTGAAGGAGGAGGGCAAGGAGAAGTGGTCTAAAAGACAGTTTGCAAATGAGAAAAGAAACTGGCTGGGGGTGAAATAATTATCTTTGCAGTACAGAATGATCTTGGGCTATTGAGCATATTTCTCAGACAAGAAGAGAGTTTCACAGTGTTTTTGCAATCTAACCAGATTTGGCATTGTATGGCTAAAGCAGTCATCTGGTAGGGGCCAGATACCAGAGTACAAGAGTCAGGGTGAGAGAGACCAACTGCTTTAGTGAGGACTAGGGTATTGAAGGTTGAAGTGAAGCAGTGCTGAGTAATGTGTAGCTGCAGAAATGTTGTACTGAGCAGAAGGTCAATGGCTGGATCGTTAGGACTTTGAAAATGCAACTGTAAATGAATTGAGGGCAAAGAGTCTTTTCTTCCCTGTGGTGGATGTAAAAGTTGGGTTTAGAATGTAAAATATGAAATAGATGGTGAGTGACACAAGACACTGATCAATATCTGAGAATGATCCAAAGGGAGTAGTGAGGCGTATTCAAAGCAGTGGCTGTAATTATGAGTTATGGAACTTAAACTGAGGTTGTAAATCCTAACAACTGTGTTTAGAAATTGCCGTCTCTACCACTATAACTTTACCAGAACTGTGTCATAGACTGTATTTGAGTGTGTAAGTGGGATTTTCATCATTATTTTAGTGATCAGAAATGGAAATGGTTTACTGGAATTTGCCAGCTGGTGTTTTGGTCTTGAAAAACATTTATAGAGCATTTATTTACAGATTAGGCAATATTGTGAGTTGAAGCCATGACATTCTCACTGGAGTATAAGGCCAGAATCTGCGATTAAAGCAGAGGTTATTTCAAATTCTACAAATGAATTTGACAGTTGATTACAATAAATGTAGCTAAAAGTGATATCGCACAGATTGGGCATCTGTCACCCTGTGTTCACTGACCAACATTTGCTCAGGGTTAAGCAGCATCTTGACTTCCGAGCTTTTAACTTTATTTCAGATCCCTCCATGGTCATGACCCTCTCACCTCTGTAATCTCCTCTTCATCCTTGATTCCATTGTCTAACAAATAACTACCCACCTATGCCTTAAGAATATTCAATGAACACATCTCTTTGCCTTCTGAAATACAGAGTTCCAAAGTTGCTCAAACCTCTGAGAGAAAATTTAAAAATTTCTCCTTATCTATGAACAAAAAAGGTGACCACAATTTTAAAACAGTGTCCTCTCGTTCCGCACCAATCATGAAGAGAGTTAAAGGAGTAAAACTATTGCTTGCGTGGAAGATAAAGTGCAGGCTAGTTGGTAGAATTGTCTGTTTACATGCTGTAATTTCTATATAATATTGCTGTCTGGCTGTTATAATTTCATGAATAACCATAATGCTGAACAGAAGACTGAAATAGATGATTGGAGTATCTAATTATTTGGTGGGCTTTCTATGCAGGGATTGTCATGGTTATTCATGCATTAACATGATTTACACCATTTTGCCTCTGATTTGACTGATAATCACATCAGTTTAATATATTTGGATACAACTAACCTATTAGATAGGTTATGAAAGGATATAGAAAGAATTGGAAGTGGAATTGATGTGCAAATCAGCCCTTATCTATTTAACTGAGTGCTGTAGACTAATAATGGTTAATATAGATTTGGATTACATTTAGACTTTATTGTCATGTGTACTCAAGTAGAGTACAGTGAAAAGTTTTCAATGTTGCCACACACAGTGCCATCTTAGGTATACCTAGGCATAAGAGCTTAAGAACAAGGTAGAAAGCAATAGGGAACAAAGTTAAAAGCTAATCATTATAATCATAGATAACAAGGTGTAGAGCTGGATGAACAC